TGCCCTACCAGGTCTCCCACACCCACCTCCCCAAGCCCTTGACACCTTATGGAGCAATTCTACTCTAATAAGGTGGCTGTGAGCTAGAAGGGGCTGGACAGCAGTGGGTGGGTTGGCTTTTTGTATATACCCTGATTCTATTGAGCAGTGTCTTTTCTGTTCCAATCTTCTTCAGGAGTTTTAATCAAAAAGTACTCAATTTAATTAAATATTCTTTCGGCATATAAAGATGACAATTGGTTCTTTTCCTTTGTTGTGTTGATGTGGTACATTGTATTGATTGACTTTGTAAATTGAGCCATCCCTGCATTCCTAGGATACGTTGCACTTGGTCACGGTACCGTTGTCGTTAGGCGCCATCATGTCAGTTCCCACTCAGAGTGACCCCTCTGTACAGCAAGGAGACACTGCTCGGGCCTGTGCCATCCTCACAAGTTCCTTTTGTTTGAACATATTGTTGCAGCTGTTGTGTCAATCCATCTCGTAAAAGGTCTTTCACTTTTTTCCTGCCCTTCAACTTGAACTCACATAGGAGCAATTGATGGTCTGTTCCATGGTCCGCTCCTGACCCCGTTCTAGCTGCTGATGTTGAGCTTCTCCATTGTCTCTTTCCACTGGTGTAGTCTATTTGATTCTTGTGTGTTCGATCTGGAAAGGTCCACTGGGATAGTTACTGTTTATGTTGTTAAAAAAGGTATTTATGAAGAACTCATTGGTCTTGCAAAATTCTATCATATAATATCCAGTAAATATCTTTCACCAAAGCCATATTTTCCAACTACTGTTCCTTCCCCTTTGTTTGTAGTTTTTGCATTCCATTACCAATAATTATCAAGACATCTTGATTGCATGTTTGATCAGTTTCAGACTGAAGATGGTAGAATTTCAATTCCTTCATTAGTTTTAGTGGTTAGTGTATAATCTGAATAATAGTGGTATTGGTTAGATTTCCTTGTGTGTGCATAGATCATATCCTATCATAGCATTGCACTTCAAGATCGATGTTGAAATGTTCTTTTTGACAATGTAATGCCATTTCTCTTGAGTAAACCATATGGTTGTCTGATTCAAAATGGCCAGTACCAGTGCATTTCAGCCCACTAATGCCTACGATACTGATCTTTATGCATTCCATTTCATTTTTTATGACTTCCAATTTTCCTAGATTCATACTTAGCAATTCTGTGTGCCACTGTTAATTAATAGGTGTTTGCAGCTGTGTCTTCTCATTTTGAGTCAAGCCCCATCAGCAAATGAAGGCCCTTAAAGCTTTCTTCCATGTAGGTCATTCTAATTTGTCTGTCTACGTTGAGAAGGCAGCTCTTCCCCACTCTTAATTTGAGAGCCTTTCACCCTGAGGGCTCCTCTTGCGGCACTAAACCACGGCCGAGTTGTGGTGCTGTTCTTGAGGTTTCATTTTCTGACAATGTTCTGTTAATCAGGTTTTTTCAGTGGCTAATTCTTCAGAAGTGGACAGCCTATTCCTTCTTAAGCTCTTCCTAGTGTAGAAGCTCTGATGAAACCGTTCCCTCTGGGTGACCCTGCTGGTATTTGAAAGACCAGTGACATAGCCTTCAGCATCACAGCAATGCATAAGCCACCGCAGTGTGACAGACTGACCTACAAACGGTGGTCATGGTGTATGCCTCTCTTTTTTGGGTCAGTTCATTGAGGGCTCTTACAGTTCTTATTACAGTCCGTACACCAATTGTATCAGGCATATTTGTACACATGTTGTCATCATTTTTTTCTAGACAATTACTTTCTATTGAGCCCTTGGTATCAGCTCCTCTCCCCCTCCCCCATGTATGACTCTTAATATACTGCTAGATACTCTGTCCTGTAGGGTTGCTATGAGTCAAATTTGACTGATGGCAGTGAGTTGAGCTGAGATTTTGTTCACTAGTATTTTTGCATCTATATTCATAAGCGATATTGTCCTGTAGTTTTGTGGTATGTTTTCTGGTTTTGGCATTAGGGTTTTGCTTACTTGTAGAATAAATCAAGGGACATTCCTTCCTTCTCTGTCTTTTGGAAGAATTAAGCAGTATTGATGTAGTTCTTATGTAAGTGCTTGGTAAAATTCTCCAGTGAAACCATTGGTCCAGGACTTTGTTTTCTCTTGGGAGGTTTTTTATCCCTGATTCAGTCGTTTCTCTTGTTTTGGGTCTATTGAGGCTTTCTTTTTCCTCTTTGTGTAGGTTGTGTGCTTTTAAGGAATTTGTTTCATCTTGGTTATGCAGTTTGTTGCCATACAGATGTCCACAATATTGTACCATGATTCTCTTTTATTTCTATCAGGTTGGTTGTAATTCCCCTTTTCCATTTCTGCTGTCACGTTTGCAGGGAAACCCACACCCTGTGTACCCCCTTTGGGGCTGTGTGTGGTGCTCTTATCTCTGCATGAGGTTTCCTCCCTTCTCCGGAGGCTCCGCTTCTATCTTGGGCTGGCCTTCAGTGGAAACCCAGGGCAGTTTTCCTCTTTGGAGAGGAGGAGCTAGCATTCACCAGAAGGACTGCGGTGAAGCCTCTCTCTGGTTTCAGAGCCCCAGTGGCCTTGTGGTATATGGGGGGCAATCTCCACTTAGGTGACCTACCTCCTGACTCCACGGTAGGGACCCTTTGGGGACCCTCTGTCAAAATTTGTATCCATACAGCAGCTGGCAGCTATGTGCTGAGAGAGGATTGCCACACTCCAGACGGACCGAGGAGGCTTGCCTTGTTGCTCACCGAGCCTGCCCTGCAGTTTGTTGGCTGCGGGCTGGAGCTTCCACTCAACAAGCCTGCTTCCTTGCTCACAGTAGCCTCAGTCAGCTGCCCTTGACCCCGAGTATACGGAGGAGCAGACAGACGGGTAGCTGTGTGTCCTTGTGGTTTCAGAGGCTGAGCGAGGGGTGCGCAGGGTGGCAGGTAGGGTGCGGACTGTGAGGCAACCCCACTGCAAGTGCCTTCGGTAGCCACTGCAACAGCCCGGCAACCAAAGGTGTGCAGATGTCAGATCCCCAGGGGAGCCTGCCAGGGACGTATCAGTGCCCCCCTGGTAGTATTGACTGCGAGTGCAGCCTTTCTCTCAACGAAGGTACAGCAGCCTCCATCAGCAGGCCTCGGTGCCCACTGGAACTGGGGCAGATGAACCCTCACCGCCCCCAAGGACGTTTGCCCTCCTGGTTTCAGAGACCAGAGCTCTGGAGCGCACAGGGAGGCTGATAGAGAGGCTGCGCTCTCTGGGGGCAGACTCAACTGAGGCATCTTCTGTAGCAGTTCACAGCAGGCCTGCAGGTGCCAGTGTTTGGATGTAGAAAGGGTTGTCACACTCCACAGAGGTCCCTAGGGAGGTCTGCATGACTGCTACCAGAGCCCTGGGTTGTTGGTTGTGGGCGTAACCTCTGCTGAAGATGCCTACCTCCGGGTGCCAGCAACCCTCAGCCCTGACGGAAAGCGGACTCCTGGGAAGTCTGCCTGTTGGTTTCAGAGGCCCGGGCTGCAGAAAGGACAGGGAAGCTGGTGAGATGTTTACTGTGTGAGTAGACTCCACTGCACAGCCTTCTGTAGCAATTTGCATTCGGGTGGAGGAGGTGCTGGTACATTCCAAGGGGACCCTGGCGGGGTCTGCCCTGTTGATGATAGGGCAGAAGCTTGTGGCCTTGCCGCTTTGTACAGGCAGGGGCTGTGGTGGTTAGGGAAACAGGCCCTTTGGCTGGGGCCCTTGCACTAGCTCACAGCAGTTGGGGGGTGGGGGAGTGGGCAGCCCTAGAGTTGTGGGAAGAAATGCTTTTCCTACCTCATCAACTCAGTGTTGCTGCTTGTCTCTCCATACTTTCCCACTCCTGCGCTCTCCCAACATCGAGCTCAGCTTCCTTGCGCTTGATGGGGAGGGTCAGCTCGAGGGCCTGCTGGTTGCAGCAGCATCTTCCCCGATGCCTCTACATTGTCCCTGAACTTGAACTTCTTATCTCTTCCCCGCCGCAGGGTCTGGTGCCCTGGCTAGGAGACTGAATATTACCTCTTTTTAAAGCTTGGGAAACCGATTTTATTTAATTTATAGAATTCTTTTCCCCTGCACATGACTAGCGTCTAGAGGAAAATAACCTCGAATAATACTTTAAAGTAATGAATACATCAAGTAATGAATACAGATAGAGGATTAGAAATGGAAGCTCCCTGTTCAGTTGGCCGCTCCAAACGCGGTGTGCTTGCTCTTGGGCTCTGTGATGGCCATTCGCTGGTTTTCAGCTCAGTATTGTTGATCAAAGTCTGCCAGACACTGTCCTGAATCTTCTTCGCTTTTTGGAGGGCGGCGTTGTCTCTACAATGGGATGATACTGTGACCTTGTGCACCTCAAATGAGCACCTGTGGTTAGAACTGGGCTGCAAGGCCAGCAACCCGCCCAGCTCACGGCTCAACGCTGTCCTTGGCTTCCCGACAAGACACCTTCTCGGGCCCTGTTTCTTGGTATCTGCTTCCCAAAGTTGACCTGGGCATGGGTCAATATCTGTGATGGTCTGGCACGAGCACGGAGGGGGGGGGGTGTTTACAACACCCAAGGTAACCAGGGGGGAACACTCGCCTTTTTTGCTTCTCAGGCGCTGGTCTGGTGCCCGCCGCGTTTCCTGGGGTGAGGGCTGCCATGGGTCATCGCAGTCCCTCCTCCCGCTGAGCACGCCCTGCCAGCAGCGAGTGAGGGGACCCTCAAAGGCAAAGCGGTGGAAGGCCAGGGCCCAGGGCTGCCTGCTGAGTCTGCTGCCTGCCCTCTCTCCCCACAGGCCTTGAGTGACCGCTTCAGCGGCGAGATCCCCGATGACCAGATGGCTTACAGCTCCTTCTTCCCCGATGAGTACTTCACCTGCTCCTCCCTGTGCCTCAGCTGTGGGTGAGTCAGGCCGCCGCCTTCCCTGGGCACGAGCGCCTGTGGAGTGGGGCTTCCCCGACCCGGCTGTGCATGTCGGTCTCCCGGGCCCTGGCTGGATTACAGAGCTGATGGAAGGCTGGCGGGTGAGGGCCAGGACAGGACGTGTCTAAGGAGTTTGTTCCTGGCGAGGCTGAGGGTGAAGGGGCCCCGTTCGGAGGACACGCGGTCATGAGGAATTTCCCCGCGTAGGCCTGAGATGCGCCTAGCTTCTGGTCTGGGTCCTTTTTATGGCAGAAATGGTTTCATCTATAGGGGATTTCTTTCCCCATTTTTTGGTTGTTGTGGAGAATGAACACCTCAAAACACACAGCAGTGCAGCAGCGTCCCCGTGTCTGTAGTAACACGGGGTCTTTGAGGTGCTGCTTTTCTGAAATGTTCTCCTCTCGTTAGCATAAACTCACTGCCCCGCAAAGTGCTTAGCTAGTCTTTCGCGTTTCTCTTGGGTCCCGTGGGTCCCGTGAAGCTAGAGCTTCAGAGAGCTTCCTGCTGCTGGCTCAGGGTTGGTTCTAGAGGCCTGCAGAAGGGTCCCGTGTCTGACCCACCTCAGGCTGCCCTGCAGTACAGCCTCCAACAAAACCAGAATGGCTGACCTTTGTACCACGAAGGTTGGTGGCCTCCCCAGAGTCCCCACATGGTGCGTGCCCAGGCAGACCACAGGGAGCGATTTGTGCCCTGTGACGTAAAAGTTCCCAGGAGGTTGTCCAAAGCCCAAACATCTGTCCGTAGGGCCTGCGGTGGTCCCACGGGTGTTGCAGGTTCCGAAGCTGGATCAAACTCGTGTCCTCGCTGAGCAGAGAGCGGTAGCCCTAGGGTTGAAGGCACGTGCACTGAGTCAGAAGAATCAACCAGAAGGAAATTAAAATGGAGCGTTGTTGAATAATAAATCAAATGGCTTGTTCTGTTGTTCCTTTGTTTTAAGGGTAGTGGAAACTACAGGCACTCGTTCTAGCCAAGTTTCCCTGTTGTTCGGTTTTAAGAAGACTGCAGGGGTTACTGTTGGCTTAAGGTTTAATCTACAGGGGACTTTTCGATGCTTGCTCACAGGCCTTCAGGTCTTTTCACTAATGTTTGGATGTCCGCCATGTGCACAGCTGTTTTTTTACTGTTGGGATAGGTGGAATAGAGCCTGTTAGAATTAGCCAAAGAGTTTGCAAAGTACTTGCAGCTTGGGCCCAACCTGAGTCTGGGTTAAGGTTTGAGCATCAGTGTCTTTGAAAGATTCAGCAGCTATTTCTAACGTGCAACCCAGGGTTGAGAACACAGGGTTAGTTAGCACTGTGCTCCTTCCAACAGGTTGGTCCACATTTACATCCAGGTGGGATTGCGCTATGATGCATCATCTGAACCTGCGGCTTCAGGGGGGCTCCCCGGCCGTGCTGGTGCTGCAGGTCCGTGCACCACACTGGGTGCAGAGGGCCTAGAGTGGTGATTCCTGGGCTCCGCTCCCAGAGTTTCTGATTCAGTAGGTCAGCCGTAGGGCCTGAGACTTGGCCTTTCTAGTACATTTCCGGGTAATGCTGAGCTTGGTGCGTGGTGGAGACCCACTTGGAGGACCACTGCGTCTGAGCAGTGGCTGGCTATTGAATCCCAAACATCAGCAAATAAAACCCAAACCGAAATCCTCTTCACCATGGGGTTGGTGGTCTCGGCTCCCTCCAGGACCCTGCCTGGGTGCTCCACTGAAGGAGGAAGCCGTAGCCTTTTCCCTGTTGAGTGGCCGAGATTAGCCTTTTGGCCACCTGGGTACCAACTGGCCTCCGGGTGAGGTATCAAGCAAGGGTTTGGCTCTCAGATTGTACCCCCACCCCCAGACAGGAGAACCAGGGTCTCACTTGAAGAGCTGAGCTTGGAAAGGGGAGATGCGTGAGTCACCAGGATGATTTGCCTCATTTGCTCAGCGCCCCCTGGACCCAGCATGGGCTGGGGGCCCTGCAGACTCGCTGCGCTTCATTCTCTCCTGCCTCCCTTGCTCCCAGCGCTGCGCTCTGGTCTCAAGCTTTCAGGACCGCAGAGGTTTCCTAGTTCCGTTCAAACCTGCCCTGAGTGCATGGCCAAATTTTGGGGGGTGATTTTTGTTGCGTTTTGGCAGCCCGTCCTGGCTAAAGCTTCCACTTCATTCCCATGTGGATGTGTGCATTCTATGAGAGCCGGTCCGGCTGTATCTCCTGTCAGCGTGGCTGGTGTCTCCGCCCACCCCCTTCCTGCAGAGACTGAGTGCACCAGGTGATGTTTCCAAGAAGAGAATTTTTCCTTTTCTTTCCCTGTGCAGAGTGCTGGGAAGCTTGTCCAGGAGGCGTCCAAGATGCATTGGCGCTCCCTGCACTCAGTATCTGGGGCCCAGTCCACAGGCAGGTCTGCTTCTGGCCCTGTGCCTGGCCTGGGGTCAGACTTTCCTGCTTAGGTGGCTCGGGGTCCTTTAGCCGCCTCATTGTTGGCTTTTGGGACTTCTCCCAGGGCTGGGTGTAAGAACAGCATGAATCACGGGAAGGAAGGAGTGCCGCATGAAGCCAAGAGCCGCTGCAGCTACTCTCATCAGTACGACAACCGGGTCTACACCTGCAAGGTGAGTGCCCCGCTCAACTCCACCCGGGCCACTAGCTGCCTGCTGGCCAGGCCGTCCTTTTGGTGAGACTGGTTTGGAGCTGCCCAAGTATTAGCAGTTTCCATCAAACTCCCTGGCTCTCTTCCTCATCTTTAACCAGATGGACTCCCATGTCTTCGTTGCTGCGACTCCTTGATTGTTTTACCTTATTTATTATTATTTTTTTAATAAAAGATCATTTTATTGGGGGCTCTTACAGCTCTTATAACAATCCATACATCAGTTGTATCAAGCATATTTGTACACATGTTGCCATCATTATTTTCTAAACATTTACTTTCTATTGAGCCCTTGGTATCAGCTCCTCTCCCTCGGCCCCCCTCATGACCCCTTGATAAATAATAAATTACTATTATTTTCATATTTTACACCTGCCGCTGTCTCCTTTCCCCACGGGTTCTGTTGTTCTTCCCCTTGGGGTGTGGGGGTGTGGGGTTATGTGTCGATCATTGTGATCGGTTCCCATTTCCTGCCCTCCTCTCCCCACCTTCCCCCTCTCCTGGAATGGCTACTCCCATTCCTTTTCCTGGATTCCATGTGCTGTGAGCTCTTATCTCTTACCTGTACCTGTGCATGTGCTCTGGTCTAGCCTGCAGTGAGAGGCGGGACTGGAGTCATGATAGTGGGGGGTGAGGACGCCTCAAGGAACCAGAGGACTATTGTGTGTTTCATCAGAGCTACACTGCACCCTGGTTGACTCATCCCTTCCTTGTGACCCTTCTGTGAGGGGATGTCCCATTGTCTTAGTTTATGTATATATTTTAAGCCTCTTTACTTAAGCTTCTTTTCTCCTCATCCTGAGCTTTCCTGTAAGGATCATGGACAATGCCTGTTCCTTTTTCTTTTCTTTTCTTTTTTCTGAATCATTTTATTGGCAGCTCTTAATTCAATTAGATCCAGCATCATTGTACAATCACTGCCACCATCAGTTTCAAGACATTTTCTTTCTTCTTGAACTCTTTGAGATCAGCTCCCCTTTATCCCCTCTCCCCGCTCCCAGTAACCCATATTATTATTATTGCCATATCTTACACCATCCACGGTACCCATTCACCTACAGCCCTGTCATCCGTTCCCCGCCTATTCCTTTTTCTTAAGGATGGATTTCTTCCCCCTGTGACAGGTGTATAACCTAGAGCCCAGCCCACCCTCACCCTCACCCATGAGCATGAGCAAGCAGGACACTAGCTTCTGTGGAGACGCAGGGGTGGCGTGTGTGTTGGGGCGGCGGGGGCACGGTGGTGGTGCGCTGAGCGGGGGTTGTGGAGCCGGGGCCTGGGGTGCAGATACGAAGCTGGCAGCGTGCTCTGTGTTTCAGGCCTGCTATGAGAGGGGCAAGGAAGTCAGCGTCGTGCCCAAGACATCTGCTTCCACCGACTCCCCCTGGATGGGGCTCGCAAAGTATGCCTGGTCTGGGTGAGTGTCACCGATTCCCCGAGGCTTTGGGCGCATTTGCCTCCCCAAGCGCTGCCTGGTGACAGTGTCTGTTTGCCCTTCCTGTAGGTATGTGATCGAGTGCCCTAACTGCGGCGTGGTGTATCGGAGCCGCCAGTACTGGTTCGGGAACCAAGACCCTGTGGACACGGTGGTGCGGACGGAGATTGTGCACGTGTGGCCTGGGGTACGAGCCTTGCTTCTCTCGTCCTTCCTCGCACAGGAACCCGGCCTTCGGATGGCTTGAGTGCAGCGGCCCAGGGCACTTCTTTCCACCCTCTCGTCGCTCGTGGTCCATGTTCACCTCTATCAGATGCCGTACAGATAGAGAGATGCAGATATTTTTAGGAGATGCGCTTGCAACTTACACGCTTGCCGTGTTCCACCTTCCACATTGATTCCACTTCTCACCATTCTCAGTGTTCTGTCTAGTGCTATCTTCAGCTTCCTGTGCCCTTTTTGGGGCATTTATGTCATCTTTGAGTTTTTTGCAGTAAAGAAGGTGCTTCGGTGACCCTCTTCATATACGAGCGCCTTTTATTTGGGGAAATGTTCTTCAAGTGTAGTCTAAGAAGCAGGTTTATAATACACACACACACAAACATACATATAGCTAGATAGATGTATATCTGTATCTCCAGCTCTTTACTACTTGTATTTTTTCATCAGACTTTTGGACTCAAGGTGCCATAAAAACAAATCTGCTTATGAGGCAGGGTTTGGTGCCTTCAGTCAGAGCCTCAAACATTACTTGTATTTGCCATTGTCCATCGACCCCACAAAGCCACACCGGCTCTCCGCTGGAAGAACGGGTGAGCAGTTTTAACTCTCACAAAGGGGCATATTGTACTCCTGCCTGTTTCCTTTGTTGGTGATCGCTTTTGGTGGGTGCTTCCGATTCCACCAATCAGCCAAATGAAGTGCCTGCAGATCTTCGCTCCTCCGGGCCCTACAGGCACCATGAAACTGGAGAGTGCTTACGGTTTCCCATCCTCTTTCCAGTGGCACCCCAGGCTCCCCAGAACCTGGCAGCACAGTGTGAGCTCATTTCTGGAGTCCCCTCCCTGGGCAGGATAGATAGTCCAGGGCCATCAGTGTCCCAGGGATTTAGTGTAGCTTTGGACAGGTGTAGCTTTCTCACCATTTTGTTGTGATCAGTACTGGTTCTGTTTTGACCATCTTCGTTCATTTCTCTCTCTGGTACCATCTCAGTGGTAAAACAGTTTCCGTTCCTGGGAAACCGTCCCTCCCTAGTCTATGGGAAAACTGCGCTCTGCAGAGATCGTGGGGTGCCTGGAGTATAGGTGCCTCCCTTCCTGTCTGCTCACGCACTCCTTCAGCCTTTCCACTACATCAGGGAGCACTGTGTACCCAGAATGGAACTGGATTTGTGACAAAAAGAAAAAATAGGTATTTTTCTCAGAGACTTCAGCGTCAGAAATACAAAGAGCGATTTATACTGAATCCTAGCGTCAGATTCCTAGAGGAACAGAGAGGAGGGCCTCCTAACCTTGCCCAGGCTTTTGGGGGGTGTCAGCTTCACATGGGCGTGCCCAGATCTAACATCTGATTTTATGGCCGGAGTAAGCCCCAGACTGAACAACTGTGCACCCAAGCCTCTTGGTCACCTCCGAAGGGAGCCAGTCAGTGGTCACTGGCTGGGCCTGGAAGCCCGAGTGGGTCCTGAGTCTTCTCGGCAGGGGGACTGTGGTTCTGAGTGGGCCGGGTGCGTGCGCAGCTCACCTGAGACCATTTGCCCCCTTCCCTTTCCCTCCCTTCACTCAGCGTTTTCTTTTCAGACCGATGGCTTTTTGAAGGACAACAACAATGCCGCCCAGCGCCTGCTGGATGGAATGAACTTCATGGCCCAGTCGGTGTCCGAGCTCAGCCTTGGGCCCACCAAGGCCGTCACTTCCTGGCTGACAGACCAGATTGCCCCTGCCTACTGGAGGCCCAACTCCCAGATTCTGGTACGGGGTGCTATCTGCGACGTTACTCACTCACCCTCCTTGTGCCCTGTTGCCCAGTGCTGCCCTGGTCCTATGAGGGAGGGGCAGGACTCCCCCAGTACATGGCTTCTAGATGATGGGGGAGGGTGGACTGCATTGAGGCAGCCCGTTTCCTGTAGGCTGGCCAGTGTCCCCGGGGCCTGCTTCCTTGGATGCGTTTGAGTTTCCTTTCCTGGGAGGGGCCGATGGATGTGGGTCAGTAGCCCAGGATCATGAGACCTCAAGGTGGAAAAGGCCCTTAACGATCCCCGGGGCCTTCCTTGACGAGCCCTGAGTTTCCACCAGCCACCACAGCCAGCAAGCAGCAGCTCCGGCCTGAACCCACTGCTCACCAGCCCTCTCCGCTCTCGGTGGCTAACTCTTGTATGACCAGAGAGTGTCTCATCGCGTGGAGACCGAGAGTTATTGGCTGTCTCTAGTCATCCCAGCACTAGACTCTCAGCCTCCAGCTGGTGACTCCTTCTGAGGAGTTCCTCCAGCGTCCCAGAGGCTCTTTTAAGAGGCCGTGAACAACAACAACAAAAAGAGTTCTTGTTGCTATTCTGGCTAGAATTAGCACCTTCCCTTCTGGGATCCCGGTGACTCAACCAGTCGAGATTTGAGGGACCTACCGGGCACTCCAGGGAAAAGTGACAACCGAGCTGTGCTTCAGTCGGGGCGTTGCCGCTTTCTGGAGCTCTTAGGACCCACCTCTGTTAGGCTTGCGGGGGTCCTGCATTCTGGGGTGGTTGCACGGACTTCCCCCCGGGAATGGCTGCCTTTCTCAGTCACGCAGCATGAGCGGTAACCTGCCTGTTTTGTGTTGGGGCTGGGACAGAGCTGCAGCAAGTGTGCGACATCATTTAAAGAGAACGACACGAAGCATCACTGCCGGGCCTGCGGGGAGGGCTTCTGTGACAGCTGTTCGTCTAAGACCCGGCCCGTGCCCGAGCGGGGCTGGGGGCCTGCGCCCGTGCGCGTGTGTGACAGCTGCTACGAAGCCACAAGTGTCCACTTAGGTAACATGGGGCCTGGGCACTGCCAGGGTGGGCACGGAGGGACCTCTCTCGTTGGCACTGGAAGACGAGCGAGCACTAGGCTCCCGTGGCCTCTCCCATTCCTAACCACGTCATTCTCCTGAGCCCAGTTGCTCTCCTGCTCTTGGCCAGCCCTGCTCAAAGTGCTCTCTCGAGAGCCCCTTAGGTCGTCTTTCTCAGGAGGTCTGAACGTGTCTTGCACTCAGAGCTGCAGAAGTGCTTCCTAGGGAAAGAAACCCTCACGTGGCATCTGCATTCTAAAAGGCAGCAGTGTTTATCAGAGGTGCCTCGACCTGAGTCATCTCCCCGGAGGAGGTTCTGAGTTGAATCGCATAGGGAGAAGACCAAAGGAGAATCTGTGCGTTTGGATTGTGGTGCTGGAGAAGCAGATTGAAAGTGCCGTGGCCTGCCTAAAGAACAAACCGATCTGTCTTGGAAGAAGTACAGCCACAAGTACAGCTTAGAGGCAAAGATGGCAAGACTTGGGCTCAGCATATCGCGGACATGTTCTCCCGAGAGACCCGTCCCTGGAGAAGGACAGCATGCTTGGTAAAGCAGCAGGGCAGTGAAAAAGAGGAAGATCTTTGAGAAGATGGCCTGACATGGTGGCTGCTTCGGCGGGCTCAGACGTAAGACCAATGATGAGGTCGGCACAGGACTGGGCAGGGCTTCCTTCTGATGTCCACAGGGTCGCTTGGGGTGGAAACCAGTTCGCTGGCACCTCACAACATTGTGAGACTTCAGGTCGACGTCTATCAGGTGCCCCCTGATTTCAGAGTCGGGGCCCATCCTCCACAGTCCTGGGGTCTTGTGCAGGCCAGCCCCTCCCACCCTGGGACGAGACCCAGGGGTGCCCTGCTGGTTGCTCTGTGTGTCCCGTGGGACATAAGAGGGGACAGCGTTTCCTTTCTTGTTGTGTTCAGATGTTGCTGAGGCACAGGTGGATGAGGAAGGCGGAACACTGATTGCCCGGAAGGTGGGCGAGGCTGTGCAGAGCACTCTGGGAGCTGTGGCGACAGCCATCGACATACCACTAGGTAGGCCTGGTAGGGTTGGCTCTGGGGTACCGGGTAGGTGGGAGAAGGGTTTTAGAGTGCCCGGGGTTATCATTCATTCAGCCAGGGGCTTGCAGAACTAAACTGGGTTGGGCAGCCAAAATAAGCATGGCATCCGCTTCTGCTGGATCTCTTAGTGGTTCTCTTGGCGTATTTACCCTTTGTTCCTGGAGACCATGCCGCCAGCTCTGACCGTGGAGGTGGCCCCGTGGCCCTGTGAGTTGGAGCAGTGGCTGCCGACAAGGTTGGTGGTTCCAGTCCACCAGTCGCTCCTCAGGAGGAGGACGAGGCTGTCTGCTTGTGTGAAGGTTCAGTCTCAGACACCTGGAGTTCTCTTGTCTTATAAAGGGTGGCAATAAGTTGGGATCAACTCAGGGACATTAGGCTTCGTTTATTACTGTGCAATGCCCTACCTGACACACACAGGTATAAAACAATCATGTTTTCACATCTACCTCAGGGAAGGGATTGACAAGGGAATGATTTGGGGAAAGGGTTAAGGTAGTCCTCTCAACATGGCATTGCCTGGATTTACTACATGATATTTATGGCAGCTGGACTCATCTTGAGGCTTCAAATGAGCCTCACTTGGTTCATGGGTAAGATGAGCCTCATTTGGTTCATGGGTGCCTGGGCCAGGCTGGCTGGAAGGGTGGGCCCCGTAGCACCCTCCGCTGCCCATCCATATTATATTCTCAGAGCCTTGCCCACACGGTCTCTCTCTTGGCAGTTGGATTTCTTACATGGCAGCCAGGGCCCCAAGAGCTCATGTTTCAAGAGATTGGAAAGCAGGAGTGCTGAGTTTCTTAAAGACCTGGACCAGAAATTGGCACAAAGTTGCCTCTAGTCTATTGCATTCACGGTGCCCAGGTGGATTCAAGGGAGGGGACACACAGCCTTCATCTGGATGGGAGCGGTGGCTGTCACACCAGCCTAGCTGTTGATTTAAGGTTAGGGATTGCTGCCTCTAGCTCTGGACAGTGAGTGGGTACTTGGCAACCAGGATGTGGGGAGTGGGGAGTTTATGGAGGGCTTCTGGCAAGGCTGTCTTGACCTGGGCCATTTTGGCCCTTTTACAGTGGAGACAATAGACTCCTGGCTGCATCCTGCAGGTGGGATTTCTCATCACCCTCCGCTCTCTTGGAGTGGGTTTATTGAGTTTAGTAAGCCAAGGCTTTGGGAAGCTACATCACTTCTCTCAGTCCTGCAGCTGCTAATTGACGCGTGCTCATTAGAACTGGGATTTGCAGAAAGGTCTGTGCCTCTCGACTCTGGGTTTTGTTGGAGGGTCACTCTCACAGTTCCGAACGCAGCAGCCCTGGGGGGGTCACCAGTGAGCTTAGCTGGTGAAGAAAGAGCCGTGCCTGGGCCCCTGCCCACCCTGATGGTGGGAGGTGGAGGCTGGGTATGTGTTTCTTTCCAAAGCTCCCTGGTGAGTCTCTGTGCGGGTGGGTTTGAGAATCAGTGAGGTCCCTGCTGAGGCCTCTTGCCAGGTGAGACGCAGGACATCGGGGGATGGGGTGGGGGTAGAGGGGTGCGTCCCACCCACCGCCGCTCCCTGGCTCTTGCAGGTCTGGTGAAGGACGCGGCCAGGCCGGCGTACTGGGTGCCCGATCACGAGATCCTGCACTGCCACAACTGCCGCAAGGAGTTCAGCATCAAGCTTTCCAAGCACCACTGCCGGGCCTGCGGACAGGGCTTCTGTGACGAGTGCTCACACGACCGGCGGGCCGTCCCCTCGCGTGGCTGGGACCATCCTGTCCGGGTCTGCTTTAACTGCAATAAAAAGCCCGGTGACCTTTAACCCCAGCTCCCTCTCCACATCCTTCACAATTCCTTAGGTTCTCAGGGTTAGAAACAGAAAGGTCGTTGGGGTAGACCCTCCTCCTGGTCACCTGTCGTGGTGAGTGTTCTTTCCTCTCCCCAGCCTGGGGCCACGCTCCCTCCATGGGGGTGGGACAGATGAGGGAGCCGGGAGCCTGGCATCTGGCCAGGGGGCCTGAGTCTCTCCTCCCCATCCCCTCCTTCAGTTCAGGGGACCCAGCAACTCAGAGCAAAGGGGCACAAATCTCAATCCGTTGCATTTATTTCATTAAAAATAGTAACTATATCCATACCTGTATACACCTGCGAAAGGCACTTAAAAGTGGACGCTGGCCACGCTGGCTGGGAAGACCTCCCACCTCCCTCGGCCGATGCCCGCACCGGCTAGACTGGAAATGGCTGAATTTCTTCCTCAGAGCGGGCCACGTCCAGCCGCTGCATTGCTGGTTATCTGCCTCTCCTTCCCCTGCCCTTTCCTTTTGTGGCTCCCAAGGGAGTCGAAGCCGGAGCCCGTTTCAGTCAGAGCCCACCCAACCTAGTGTGCAGGTCACCACAGGGGTGGGGGGGTGGTCCTCAGCCCCCAGAAGTTGAAACAGCGCAATGCCCCCTGTCCCGGGGAGCACCCTGGGAGTGGCCCTGTCCTGGCAGCGGTTCTGTGTCTCCCACCAGGCTGTGCCAAAAGGCGGGCACCCTGCTTCCAAATCCAAGCATCTGCCCCCAGCCCTCTCCGGCCCCTTCATCTGCTTCCAAGGGTCGAACTAGCAGTTTTATTGCTTACAGTGTCTTAATTCTTTGTTCCCAGACGCACGGCCCCTCCTGGTATTACTGGAAGGGTGACCGTGAGAAATCTTCCAGGGACACAGAGCACAGAATGGACTGTTAGGGTTTTTTGTTGTTTTTGTTTTAAAGTATATAAATAATTCAACAGATCATAAAAAGAAAAAATTCTCTTCAGTCCTTGGCAAGAGAAGTCAAAATGAACTTTTGTTTCTCGGCAAGAGATTGGCCATCCCCATCTATCGTGACTGGAAAGAGACCGTTGTGTTGAAATCCTGCCATCGCGGCGGATTTAATCTTCAGTGGCCAAAAGAGCGAAGAACGAAAAGCAAGCCAGTTCGTGGCAGAACGGGGTGGGCAGGTTGAGCGCCTGGGAGTCCCTGGGCGGTCGCTCTGGCGGTGTGGGTCAGTGTGACGGGAGCCCTCGTGTGTGTTGGCCCTCAGACCTGCTCCCTTACTGCCTCCTGTGGCCCCGTGGCTGCGGCCCTACTCTAGAATCATGTATTCTTGAATTCACCATTATAAAGGAATCTCCCTGCTGACTGCCGGCTCTCTCTTCTCACCCCCAGCAATAAGCCTGCTCTGACTGCCCTTCCTCCTCCTTGGTGGGAAGTGGCCTGCGGCCGTTCAGAGACACACTCCAGGGTGATGTTAGCGTACCTGCAAAGATCTTGGCACTTGGTATCAAGGACTTTTTTTTTTCCCGTGGTGGGGAGGGGACGACCTAACTCAGTGTCACAAAATCGCTGTCATTGGGGCTCGGTTTTCCTCTCACGGTGACAAGGCCTCTCCCTCTACTTTTAGGTCAAGAGCAGCCCTGGTGGGGTGGTTACACGTTGGGCTGTGATCGCAAGGTCAGCGGTTTGAAACCACCACCCCACTATGCAGAAGACAGACAGGCAGGACTTTCTACGCCAGGAAAGAGTTCGTCTGAGAATCTCCCGGGGGCAGTCCGACCCCCTCCGATAGGGTTGCTGTGAGTTGATGTCGACTCGGCGGCAAGGAGCTCGGCGTTTTGTTTGATTAGGTCAAGAGTAGGCCCCAGACCAGTGTGGTGACAGCGGAGGGTTCTACAAGGCCCCACGGAGCATCGGTGCTCCCCGCTTTCCGTCACTGACCTGTTGTTCATCAGAGCCCCCAGAGCGGGAGTAGCAGCTGAGTTAGCGGTGCTGTCCCGCAGCCGCCCCGGGGCCTCAGGTGCTGTCTGAGGCGGCCATCACATCGCGATCCGAGGCCTTTCTCACCGGACAGACCAGGCACTGCTCCCGGTTTTTGAGTTTAAAATACACCCCGCTGATGACTTACTGTTTTACTACCTCTTCATCTCCACTCTTTTCAGTCGTTTTGCTGATAAAAGTATTCACGTACCATGATGACACTGCTTTTAAGATGAGCTGTATCGACATCATCACTGTCAGTCCGGTGCTTCCTCCCCCACGCCCCTCTTCATCCTCCTCCCACGTCCCGTCCCTCACGGCCACCTCACTCTGGGGCTCGCTCTCACTCCTGCACGTCCGTCTCCTGGCCCTCGCCCTTTCACTGTGGTCTTTGTGAGGAGAGAGGGGCGGGGGGAGGGAGCTTGGGGAGAAGAGGTGCGTGGCTGAGAGAGAGATTTGACATGGGCGTGGTTCTGAGGAGAGAGGGGCGGGGGGAGGGAGCTTGGGGAGAAGAGGTGCGTGGGGGTGGCCCACATTTGACATGGGCGTGGCTCTTGTGCAGCGTGCTGGTTTCCCCGGAGGCGTGGCAGTAGTGGCATGGTAGGCATCACTTTCATTTGCTTCCTTTTTCGTGCTGCACACAGTTGCACCCTGCTGTACACCAAGCCACATGGGGAAACCCAGGCTGCGCAGCGCACCTGACGCCGCTCTGCCTACACCCTCGGGCTGGAGTCATTTTCTCAGCCCAACTACCAGGTAGGTGACCATCACATTGAGAGACAGATCGAGACTGGATTCCAGGAACTCTGGGGCTCCCCTTTCCACCAGGAGCAACCCCCTACCCGACGTGGAACAGCTAGTGCCCTTTGTGTACATGGGTGTGCAAGCACGCCCCGAGGGCTCGCACACTGGCTTCAGGCTGGCTTGGTGAACCCCTCCAGTGCAGCGTGTTTGTCTCATTTCCGTGAGAGACCAGCACATGGAAGGTTACAGCTTGAGAACCTGGCGTCTCCTAAGCAAGGGGACCCAGTGGGACCCTCACCACACCCCCTGGGCTCAGCTCTGCTTGCCTGGCTTACTTGGGAAGAGAGAGAACCAGTGGGTAAGTGCCTGGTGTGTGCCAGGGCTGTGTCAGTTGTGGGGGAGGGAAGTAGCCGTGGTCCAGCTTGCTGGGGGCAGGGGGCGGAGGGGCAGCCCAGGGCTCCCTGACTGAGGACCCTCAAAGCTGCCTTTGAGTCCAGAGGCCCAGCTGGTTTGAGGAGGAGCCTCCTCCCTTCTTAGGGGTTGTGGACTCCGCACGTCCAGAGGTGCGTGTGAAATCAAAGGACCTCCTCCTGGCCCGGTGGTTCCGTCCTTGGCTGCTAGCTCTAAGGCTGGTGTGAACCCTCCCCTGTGGCTCCACGGGAGAAAGGCCTGGCAACCTGCTAAGCTTCCAGCTGTGGGACTGTGACTCAGTAGTGGCTGTACAGCCACATGTGTGCTCTCCATGTCAGAACTACCCGAATGTGGGCAAAACTCTGAGAATCGAAACCCACAAACTGGCTTTTGACTGCACAGTGTTTAATTGGTAAATCATCCTAAAACTGACAAGTGTGACAACCAGCTATGAGTCTGCAGGGACAAATTGGAGGGGGTGGGGGAGGGGCTTGAGAGCTATCCTGCTAGGTCAAGGAGCACAGCCACGGGGAGGGGGGACCAGAGGACTCAAACCTCCCACCCCCCTCGCCCCCACAAATCTGTCCCATTGGCTGAACCCGCCTGGCGGCCAAGGGCAAGGAGCCAGCCCAATCACTGATGAGGGCCATTGGAGCTGGACTCGGTGTGGCCCAAGATCCCAGTAGACTTCCTCCAACTGGTTTGCTGCTAGATGCAGCTCAAGCATCGCGTTCTCCTGAATGATGAACAAGCCACACCACTGCATGGTTCTAGTTTATTGTTTGACAGAAAAAAGCAGGATCATCCAGCATTGCGTCTGAACGGCTCAAAAATGGTTTCCCTTAGGTTACCAAAAAATCACGACAATTTGCTTTCAGACGCAACAACTCACTGCCATTGAGTCAATTCTGACTCACAGCGACCCTACAGGACCGGGTAGCACTGCCCCTGTTGAGTTTCTGAGATAACTCTGAGTAGAAAGTCAGCAAGGCCCATCTTTCTCCCTCAGAGCCGCTGGTGGTTTGGAATTGCTTGGGGATCACAGCCCAACACGTAACCACTATGCCCCCAGCGCAGCTAGGCCCTTGAATCTGACGTTCCCAGAAAGCACTGTAATAAGAACAGGAGCTGCTACACTCAATGTTTTGGAAGGTGCTTCACCAAAGGCCTGTTTAAAACCTGCTAGCAAGGCCAGTAGTTAGAATCTAGCAGCTACTGCTTGGGAGAAAGATGAGGATTTCTGCTCCTCTAAAGATTTACAGCCTCAGAAACCCAAAGGAGCAGTTCTACTTTTTCCCGTAAGGTGGCTAGAAGTTGGAATTGGCACAGTGGCAGCGAGTTGAGTACTTAAAGAAGATTCATCTGTCTTCCAACAATGCCTAAGACAATAGTAGGCAGAGAATCCCAGGGGTTTCTGCAACTGAGAGTGAACTGGTTCTGGAAGGCCAAGCTCGCCGAGTCCAAACTCCAGCCTGAATTCTGCAGACTCAGAGAATGGATGTCCTGTTCCACAGACACAGGCGAGGTGGTGTCTGCCTGGGACGAACTTAATGAATGCATCCCAGCCAGTCTCAGAGCTAGGCTTCTCAAAAGCAACTTTAGTGAAAGAAGAGGCAAATAGTTACTCTCCTCCAAACGAAGTCTTTTTGTTGGGAGTGAGTAGAAATAGGCACCTTTTATGCAAAGGACTTTCTGACTCCCTGAGCCCTTAATTTAATGTAACTAACTGAAGAACACTCAGCGCCTCCCTCCACCTACGTCTAGCTGCGTGGTCGGAGGTGTACGCTGGGTGCCTGCTTCAAAGGCCTGGGCTAGAAACAAGTGCAACGGCTGCTCTTCACCTTCCAGAGCCAAACCCCATGCAGTCTCTTGGTTTCAGTTGTAGCAGAAACAGTAGAGGTCCTGTCGGACAGCCATGAGCAGTCCAGGCCCTCCCCGGGAGCCCCCAAGCCGAGAGGAGAAGGCCACGCTGGGGATGTCCTCCTGGGAGGTGGGGTAAGGGGAGGGGATGGTCCTGAGCAGGTGGGCGTCCCGGAGGCTCCAGAGTCTCGTGTAGCAGTCCTGGCCCACTAGGCAAGCAAGAGGGAGGGTGTGGCAGGTCAGCGACAGTGCACAGGTACACCTGTGGGTAATGTGTGGTTTCCCAGGATTCCTAAGACCTGGCGATGGTTTTATGGGCACCAGACTAACAACCCCTGGGTGGAAGTGATTACTGCTGATCAGCCATTCTTAAAATCACCAGTTGCCTGGTTCCCTAGAGCAGGGGTCCGCAAACGAGACAGAAAGCCAATCCTGTCCTTCACAGCAACTGGAAAATTAGTTGAGAGCCATGTATATGTGTTTTACAGACAGATCACACTATCTGAGTAATATCCTTTAAACCTTTTTCCATTTTGAGTCCCTTGTACTTACTTAAAGAGCCCCATATGGTTCGAGAGCCGCCCTGCCCTGAAACCAAAGGCAGTTACAGGGCTTATAAGGGGTAAGGCACACTGGCCAGGGGCGGCACCTCAGCTGGTTCAGCAGTCGTCCTGACTAACAAGGATTCTGCATCTCTTGGTACCAAGGGCTCATCAGGAGAGCTCAGCTCACCTGGTTCAGATAATAAATAGGTGGTGGAGTCCCAGAAGTCACTGGAAGGTCTCTTCACGATAGCAAGTGTGGAACCACACACGTTCATGAGCCCAGTTAGTTCGCAGGGCATACCCTTCTGAGGACTGTGACACCTACACTTTGGGTGACAGTAGGCCAGGCACATGATATACAAGGGGGCTTCAAAACGTTTGTGGAAAAATCCCATTATCTTATAATTCCACTTTGCTGGAATCATTTTGAAGGTCCTTGGCATGTGGCTGGAGACCCCCAGAAGGTAAGAGAATAGACCCAGGGCATGCACGGACGTTCACCTTCGTGCTTCTGACCACCTGAGTGACTCCCAGGCCCTTGACACCGAAGGAGGTACTAACAAGGGTGCCTTCAGGTGCGTGTCTGGGAGGGCTGCTGCAGCTGGCCACCCTGCACTGCCTCAAGCCTTAGCTCTTCTCGAGGACCCAGCACACAGACGTACTTTTGAGATGAAATTTTGTGGATCATCGACTGCAAAGTTCTAACCCAGTGAAGCGTCCCAGCCACTCAAAGGTTTCATGGAGATAAGTACACCTGGTGGCGTAGTGGTTACTCATTCGGTTTCAATCCTCAGGGTCAGCAGTTTGAAGTCATCAGCCACCCCTCTGGAAAAAGAAGGGGCTTTCTACTCCTGCCAAAGAGTGATGGGCTCGGAAACTGGACCAGGGGCAGTTCTACCCTGTCCTGTAGCCTCGCAATGAGTCAGCATCGACTCGATGGCAGTGTGTTTGGTTTGGGTATGGTGGGAGTATTGACTAAAAGCATAACCCTAACTCCCTCCTGGTTTCCCTCAGTAAAAACACTGGTCTTCCGTGATACTAGATGTAACAGTCTGGAAGCATATTCTGCCATAGACGTGAGCTCCCTGCAAGAAGGCGGAGTGGCTGGCATGCTCCACTCCTGCTCACAGGCCACGCGTGGGTCTGAGGAACCTGCAGCTGCTTTATAATGCTTTTACATTTCTTTTCTCAGCATCGTCTGGTGGAAGTGGAGTAGGCAAAGAGGAAGCTCAAGGTTTTACACAAGACACTATGGGATAAGGGGCCGCAGTGAATGTTCACTAGGAAACTGAAACCCCAAACCCGGGTCCCTGCCTCCTAGGTCTTATTTCATCCAACAAGGGGCCTGCTTCTCAGGTGCTCTGTGCCTGCTGACAGGGGGACAAAGGGCTGACTGGTGGGTGTTTAAGCTTTGTTCCCTAGTGTCCAGTCCATTGTCCTCCTGGGCCCCGGCCCCCAACTGTGCACACTCCCTTTTGCTCTGTCCTAATTTTTACATAGCAAGCGTCTTTTCCTTGGGAGCGCCTGCTATTTAAGGTGTGGGGGTCACTCGGGCAGTGTTGGTTGGGATGGCATTTGCTTCCCCAGTTACCTGCCATCAGCAGGCCTTCTTCCTCATGCACGTGCAGGGGCAGCTGGGCATACTCGTTCACGTGGCCTTCAAACTGCCTTAGACATTTGGTGGTCCTCAGGTCCCACAGCTTGATCTGGGGGAAGGAAGACACACACCAGTGGTTAGGGAGGGCCCAGCTGCTCCCCGGAAGTCTCTTCAGGATGGGAGGATCTCACAAGCGCCTGGGCCCTGAAGCCCGTCAAAAGCTTGCAACCCGTGAACCCTCTCTTCCTTTCTGCCTGGCCACACCAGGCTCACCAGAGCTCAGGTTGGTGGAAAGCACGGAAGCTTCCCCCGTCTCCAGATACCTCTCTGCCCGGTGTCTTGGCACAAAGGTCTCATCTGTGTAACCTCTTGTACCGGGCCGCAGAGTCCCGATTCCAGCAACCCCCCTACCTTTCCAGCCATATCTGATGCTATCAGGCACTGTTCTTGCTGGAGGATTTGCATGGAAGTCACTGCCGAGTCATGGGCCATGCTCAGGGTCTTCCAGCCCTTGCCCCGGCTTTGAGAACGCAGGTCAATGGCAAAAATCTCCCCGGAACGGCAGCCATTAAACAGCAAGGGGGCCTGTGGAAGGAGGGACTGCTTGGTGCCTGGTCCTGACTACTGCTCTCCACGCCTGCATGCATGCGTCCTCACCTCCCTGAGCCTAGCCCTGCAGAAAGTGCAGGCGGAGATGGGCTCATCAGGGTTTGGGTCTCGACAGAGTTGGAAGGGCAGATGAGTCCCCAGGGTGGGATACTAGCCCCTTTGTTTCCTCAGGTCCTAGGAGCTGCCCCGTTGGCAGCTTGGGCTGAATTCGAAAGCCTAACCAACCATGGGCACCTTGTGCCCTCCACGGCTGTTTGTGAGAGGCTGGTTGATGAAAAGGGAGAGGAGGGGACCAGAGCGAGCAAAAGCCACAGAAACCGGGACCTATCGCCCGCCGACTCCACGTTTTGAAAGAAGGCTGGCATTTTCTACCGGGCAAGTGTACTTCGATGCCTGGGCTTGTAAAAGTGGCACCCGACAGCTGTGAGTAAAGAGTAGGCGCCAGCACTGGGACCTGAGGTTGGGCATTCTGTCCCTGTTGTTTCAGCAGGCTAGTCCAGGGTGCAAGAATTGCTAAGAATTCATTGACACAGGAAGTTGTTCCAAACCCAGCTTGGCCCCTGCCTTTCTGGAGCAGTCAACTTTCACTTAGCCTGGCCACATTGCGCAAAACCGCCCACTGATCTCTCCCCGGCCCCTCGGCTTCCCGGTAACGGGAAGGGCCGCGAGCTACCCTACAGAGGGTTCCAGTTTCTACTTGGCAGCTTTCCCACTCCACAGCCAACCCACCAAGACAGCAAACTGCTGGGCCAGGACGTCACTGCAGGTCCTGAATAACTGCCGGTGTCCCGTCACCACGTTGGTCAGCAGGACCTGCCGAGACAGGCCTGAAGGAGACAGAGGTGAGCCAGCGAGGCCAGTGGTCCTTGCGGGCTGGGGGTGGGGGTGGGGGGGGGCGGGACTGCAGGCTGTTGGGGCTTGAGGTCCGTGAGCACCTTTCCTCTGGGGGCCTGGGAGGTGGCCATGCTCGCTCACCTGTGCTGAAGCAGTTATTTGCTTGGACGTTCAGGGACCATGCACAGGACCAGGCACTGGGGATCCGGAAGCTGCAGAGCATGTCAGGCTGGTCTGCAGTTGCTAAAGGGCATAGAGAAGGTGCCATGGCGTGGGAGACCCACAAGCATCTGTGCAGAAGCGTCGATCGCTTGGTTCCGCTCTGGGTTTGTGATGGTGGGAGACATCAGCCGGGGCCCTGACTCCGAGTGGGCATCTGAGTGTGAACTTCAGACACTTCCTGACTCACATGAGAACATGAAGGGCACTAACAGTATCAGGGTGGTGTGGTGGTGAAAATAGACGCTCTTTGAGTCCAGTTCTACTATCTACTAGCCGGGTTTCAGCAAGTAAGGAAATATATAAACCTTTTAAAATGATGTACACAGAATACTTAAAAATCCTACAGTTCAATGGATGATCACAAAATATAGCTAGATTAAGAAATAGAAAAAAAAGAAAAGAAATAGACTATTCCAGGACTCTGGGGCCCCTCCTCATAGGCCCTCCCCATTATGAACCCTGCCCCAACCCAAAGGTTCTCCCCGCTTCCTAACACTGCAGCGCTGAGTTTTGGGAGGCACCTGCTGACCTTGGCTCTGCTCGTTTCCTCCTTAGAAAAAGGTGACCACAGTCTCTTGCCACGAGTGGGTGGTAAGATGAACTGCTGGCACTGGGCTAAGTGTGGCATGCCTCAATAATGTAAATTGAATGGGGTGATGGCGACCACTCAGGGCAGAGAGGTGCAGGGCAGGGGTTCATGGTGGGCTTGCCCGAGGCCTGCCTCACTAGTCTGAATTCTCTAGAAGACTGCAGACCCCACATGCTGCTAGCAAGAAGTCCACGTGCCTTCGGCCAGACAGAATGCAGGTGCTTTGAGGTGTCTGGCCCTCACATTTTCTGAACGGCTCCACAACAGGCAGCCCGGCCAATGTTTTACTCGCTCACATTTTGATCTCAACACCCAGTCACTCTACTCTGGCTGCTCAAAAGGCCCTCTGGGGGCACTGGAAAAGGAGAGGGCCTTCGAGGGGGAATCCTGGGCCGGGCTCCCAGGTCCTCGCCCAGACACCTCTACAGACTCCGCATGCAGTGAGGCCCCACCTGGGCTCCGCCGGTCCGTCGTGCCCGCGTCTCTCCAGCCACCCACACCGCCCACGAGTGCAGGCTGCTGGCTGCAGCACCACAAGACCCGGCTTGGAGGGTCTCGTACCTGGCTGGCTGTGGGAGAAGAGCGATGCCGGCAGCAGCGTGGCGCAGCCCGGAGTCTTGGCGATTCCCCGGCGGCACAGCCTGGGCAACAGGTCAAGGGCAGTAAGACACAGCTGTTCCTCTGGGAGGACGGAGGGAGGCTGGGCCTGGGTCCCTTCAAAGGACAACCCTGACACCTTCGAGCAGAGGCACAGCCACCAGCAGGCTTACCACAAGCGCACGTCCCCACTCCTGCCTTCAGAGGCTTCTTAAAAGGGAAAGCTGGCACCCAGCGTGGGGCAGCACCCCTACCCCACCCCCCCATGCCCTGGATCCAAATCTGCTTTCTCACCCAGGGAAAACCACTACTCAGAAATGGGCTGTCTTCTAGGCCCTGCAAAACATGGACACGTTTCTCAACAGCAGTAGAAAGGGCGGTGCCCGTCTGTCACACACAAAGCGGCATCTATCGTCATCTAGACCAGTGGTTCTCAACCTTCCTAATGCCTTGACCCTTTCATACAGTTCATGTGGTGCTGACCCCCCCAACCATTAAATTTTTGTGGCTATTTACTTCATCACTGTCATTTTGCTACTGTTATGAATCAGGCCACCCCTGGGAAAGGATCGTTCGACACCAAAGGGGTCATGACCCAGATTGAGGACCACTGCTCTAAGGCATAGGTTCCAAAACTTATCTGGCCTGTCACCCCTTTTAAAGGGGGGTGGAAAAAAAGGACTCCGTGCTCCCCCTGGCCATTAAAAACATGTGTCCTGCCACTCGTAATCCAGGATAAAGCAGCTGCTGCTGCTGTCGGCAGGGGGCCGCCCAGTCAGGCCGACCCACAGACAGAAACACTGCCTGGGTCGGCACCCTCATCACAGCTGTCCCTGGGCTGCAGTCCCTTCTTGTGGTCGGGTGTCAATCGTCTCCTGAGGTTCATCCTTGCGTTCGCTGCCCCTCTACTCTGCCCAGCATGCCATCCTTCCTCAGACAGGGCTGGGCTCTCCTGGCATGTCCAAAGCACGGATACTTGTTTTTGCCGCCCTCTGGGATTATCCGTTCCAGCCCCAGGGGTGGGGGTGGGGGAAGCAGTGTTGTCTACTTTGGTAAGCTTCTCTAAAGGGGGTCTCTTCCCTCATCCCACCATGGACACAGCTGCCTGCCTGGTTTTCTCTGTGGACACCTCCCATCGCCACAATTCACTGCCAAGTCCTAGACTGCACTCCGACTTGTGCCTCCCTCGCCACTCCTGCTCTGATCCTTCAAGTTCTCATCACGGCTCGTGGGCTCTCCCAGCAGCCTCCTGCAGAGGGCCCTCCCCTTGCCAGGCCATGCCTGCACACGCCAGCCCACATCTCTAGGTGCATCCCTGAGGAATTACCCCTGCAAGTGCCCTTGGACTCTCAGCCATGCCCTCTCTTACCTGTCCCTCCTCCCTGTGTGCTAGCCACTCTTCTTGGTACCATGGTGTGGGACAGCTGACCTGTTGGTCTGCCAGTCTCCAGCCCTGCACAGGGCCTGTACATGCTGAATAGATGTTGGCGGATTGACCGCACACAGACCTCACTGGAAAATGCCAAAGCCTGACCAGCCACGGTGGAGAATTCAGATCTGTCACACTGCCTTGGGTGGTAAGCCGCATCCACGTAGCAGCTCACATCCTTTCTAAATTCACCTCTTCGGTCTCCGTATTTGGAGGGTGAGGGTCTGAGGAAAAAGTCCTTGCCCAGGTGTACTGCTGGTTTCTGTGACCGAGACTCAGGTCATAAACCTCATTGCTCATGGGGCCAACTCCTTGGCCCCGTTCCCTCCAGGCCCAGGCTAAGCTGGCACGCAGGGAGAGCGGACATGACGGACTCAGCATAACCTCCCACCGCTCTCGGGTGGGGTGGGGCGTGCAGAGGGTCCCTCGGTCTGAAGGAGCCATCATTTTTGTAAAGGGCGACAGCTCTGTGAACTTCTGCAGACCCCGTAGGTGCACGGAGGTCGGAAGATGACCTGAAATGACCACCAGAGGGCAAAGTGACTCAGCTACACCCAAAGACTCTCTCGTAGCCGAGTAGCTGGAAAAGAAACACGAGAACTCACGTACTGTTTCACTCTCTGAGCATCCAAAAGGAGAGTGAGGCCTTGCTTTTCTCTCTTCAAAATGTGGCGTCTTCTCTCCTCAGGTCAGACTATCCCAGGAACAGGTAGCCCCATTCCCCACAGACACCTGGCCAACAAAAGCCACACGCAATTTTGAATTGACAGCATCCACAGAGTTTTGTGTGCGGCCTCCGTGCACTACAGAGCCAGGCCTCCAGTGGCCCTCTGGATCACAGCTCTGGGAAACGGCTGCAGCCCTGCTGTCAGTGGTTGTGGAGGTGCAGGGCGAACCCACTGCCATGCAGCACGCTCAGACCCTGCCCAGTGCTCACCTCCCGGCCCGCCACTGTGGTCTGGTCGAGCTGGCCCCAAGCAACACCTCCTGAGGGGGCTGGTAATTGCAGTGTGGACACCTACTTCTGGACCCCATTCACTAAGGGAAAGGAGCCTGGGGCAGCCTCATTAACACAGAGCTTTGATTTGATGTTGGGTCAAACAGTATTCCTGAAGCGTAGGATGGACAGTTGTCCCCTGAAATTGTTCAGGGTCCCCACGGCTCCCTGGGGGAAGCTCCGGCCATCCTGACCCTGCTGTGCAACTAGTAAGAGTCCTTGGCTGCTCTCTGTCAAATAAGGTGGCCTCATACCTCTGTCCAATCTCCTCTGGTCCCTGCCACCCCTCAGGGCCACTACTTCGGCTCTTGGCTCTTCTTGTTCTGCCTATGCAGGACCTGTGGCTCCTTCCCACAGACATGCTACTTTCTGCTTTAGCCCTTAGCTGACACACCCTCACTCCGGCGTGGTGACGTGAGATGGAGCCATAAGACACGGTGGTTTAAGGTGGGCGGGCTCGGGGGCAGACTTCTTAGGTTCTCATCTTGGAACACAGTGCCTGCCCACAGACAGTAATGCCACTCCTGGGAAATGGCCTCTGTGGGGACCTGACTGCTACCCCGGGGCTGCTGCCCTTTCCGAGGGAGTGAGACGTGTGCACAATGGCTCAGTCAGATTCTGGCACTAAGCCGATGCCAGCTCCCACCGTGCTACCCACCCCCACCTCCAGCCCCCACACCCAATGCCCAGGTCTGTATCACCATGCGCCCGCCCACCAACTCTTTTCGTTCACCGAAGGATACAGAATGTGGGAATCCAAGTGGTTTAGCGAGGCCCAGCACACACAATTCACCTGGGGAGGAAGCACACAGCAAAAACAAAGTTGTTTTTTTTTTAAGGTGATTTAACTAGGGGGGTGTGGGGGGAAGGCGCAAGGCAGAGCGAGGGCAGGGGAAATGTTCTAAAGTTAATTGTGGTAATGATTGTACAATTCTTTTATTGAATTTTATGATATGTTGATAAAATGTAGTTAAAAAGGTGCCAATAAAAATGTAATTAAAAAAAAAATCTTCTGGTGCTATGGTTGTGGATTGAATTGTGTGCCCCAAAAATATGTCAGCAGGGCTGGGCCAAGGTCTTGATAAGACTTAACCGTCCTCCGTTTTGTGGCCTGAGGTGATGTTACTAAGGCAGGATTCAAGACCATTGTGTTTTAATGAGGCAGAATTAGGCTATATTTTTAGTCGATCTCTTTTGAGATATAAAAGGGACTAAACAAGTAAGCAGAGATCAGAGTGACCCCCTATAATCTAGAAATAATAGCCAGAAGCAGAGCGTATCCTTTGGACCCAGGGTTCCTGTGCTGAGCAACTGCTAGACCCAGGGAAAAACTGGTAATAATGACCTTCTCTGAGAGCTAAATGCAAGAAAACCACCCTGGTAGCTGGGACCCTGAATTTGGACCTCCTGCCTCCTAGAACCCTTAGAGAATACAATTTTGTTCTCGGAATAGCCGCACTAGAGAACTGTGGCAGGTGTGAAAACCCCAAACCACGCTCGCTGCCATCGAGTCGATGCGACTTAGACGACAGCGTAGAACTGCCTTCTTTATGGGAGTCTTTCTCCATAAAAACGGACTGGATGGCTTTCTGGCAACTGGGGGCTTTCCCGCCCTGCCAGCCTGGGTCCCGGAGGAAACAGAGAGGAAGTAACCCCCAGGCCTCCTCAGCATGGGGCACGGAGTGAGATGCAACCCAGGGCGTGGGTTGGGGGTGGGGAGCTGAATTCTTCTACAACAAACATTGTTCTGCATCTTCAGAGGAAGGTGCGCGTACTTCACCCCAAATGATTTTCAACCTGTAGCTCCTGTCCTGACTAAACAAAGCCAGGGGTGCAGTCATTACCCTGTTGCAATTTACAGGGGCTCCCTGGGCAGTGAGCACTTTATACAAGTAGTCATGTAGACACCCCCGAGGCGGCTGCAGTGTCTGTCGCAGACTGCTGGCTGGCTGAGGCATTCTTCTGGAGGTCAGAGAAAGACTCGAATGTCCAGGCCACAGCCCACTGTTGACCACATCCCAGAACTTGGCGTGGGGTCATTTGGGCCACCCTGTGATCATCCTCGAGGGAAGGTTCAGGGGCACGGCTCCAAGCCTACCTCCTCCAAGACAAGCAATTCCTGAGGCTCCTACTCTCCCATGATGGCTTTCCAGGACATCGAAACAAATCTGCCCCCTGGGGAAGCGTGGAGGCCACACCTGGCCTTCTTCCCACAGCGCTCTCCTCTCCTCTGCGTTTGGGTTCCCACTTCTTGACCTGTAGCGTCCGTGGACCCCACAGCAGAGAGGGCTGCCGGGTTGCAGAGGCGGGAGGTGGGGAGGAGTGTACCTTGCGGTTGGTGAAGTACAGGTTTTCATACATCCTCACGGTGAGGGATGGGATCTGCAGACCGCTGAGGTTGATGATGCTGTACTTGGAGCCGCCGGCCTTGATGTCGATGACTGTGAACACCCGGTCTCGGTTGGTACTGGCCTGGAGGAGCAGAGGGAAGAGCAGGGGATCTCGCGGGCTGAGCCAGGCAGGTGGTCTAAGACCCTGAAAGCCAGTGCCCATCTCTCCTGGCCTGCGCGTCCCACGCATGTTCCCCATGGTGCTTCTGTCTCTGAGGGATGGTGGAAGACACCCCAACGTCCCCCCGCAAGTCCACTCTGCACCAAGCCACTCACTCCCTGTCTGGTCTGAAGTCGGCAGATTTCCATGACCCAGAACCTGGTCGGGAAGAGTCCATATCCCATTCGGATGACTGAGGGGCGGCCATGTGGACCCCCCCTTGGGTTCCAAGTCACGAGGATAGGCCTGGCTCCTTTTGATTACAGGAGGTCCTCCAGCTCTCTGCCAACACTGACAGGGTTGCTGGGCTCACGGAGTTGGCTGCTGGGTCCCCACTTGGGTTGACACAGAGGCACAGGAAGACCTGCTCCCTGCACATAAAGCGATAAGGTGTGCTGCCAGTGCAGGCCCAGGGCTGGACAAGGGGCTGCAAGCCCTGCCCCTTGGGCTGTGGCTCTGAGGGCGCCGTGGGGCTTCAGCTCATTCCTGCCTCCACAGGCAAGGGGGCCTTTCCAGCTCAGTACCCCACACACTTGAGATGGGCCTTAGCCAGTGGTGGCGGGGCCCAGGCTCTGATGCAAAGTGACATCAAGTGGGGACCGCAACAGCCCACTCTACCAGCCCACTTATCTGCCCCTAGGCCAGCAGCAGGGGCCTGCTAAAACTATAAAACCAAGATGGGGCAAACAAGCGGCCATCTAGCTCGGAAGCAACAAAGCCCACAGAGAAAGAAGCACATGAGCCTGTGTGATCACGAGGTGTTGAAGGGATCAGGTAGCAGCCACCAAAGAACAAAAACCATCATTGTGTGATCACCTTCCCCACATAAACGCTGAAGATGAATGTGTGCATAAGTAAGTGTGGTGAAGAAGGCTGATGGTGCCCGGCTATCGAGAGCTATAGCGTCTGGGGTCTTAAAGGCTTGAAAGTAAACAAGCGGCCATCTAGCCCAGAAGCAACAAAGCCCACATGGAAGCAGCACACCAACATGTGTGATCATGAAGGGCTGAAGGGGGACCAGGCTTCAAGCACCAAAGGCAGGGGGGAGAGGGAGGAGGAGATCATATCATCGTGAATGAGGGGAGCGCATGATGGGGACCCAATGCCCATCTGTAGACAACTGGGCATCCCTTGCAGAGGAGATGAGTCACTCAGGGTTCAGTGTAGCAATAATGAAACTCACAACCTTCCTCTAGTTCTTAAACGCTTCCTCCCCCAACTATCATGATCCCAATTCTACCTTGCAAACCTGGTTAGACCAGAGGATGCACCGTGGAAACACAGGGAATCCAGGACAGAAGAACCCCTCAGGACCAGTGGTGAGAATGGTGATACCGGGAGGGAAGGGGGCGGTAGAAAGGGGGAACCAATGACAAGGATCTACATATAACCTCCTCCGTTGGGAATGGGCAACAGAAAAGTAGGTAAAGGGAGAGGCCAGGCAGTGTAAGATAAGATAAAATAATAATTTATAAATTATCAACGGTTCATGAGGGAGGGGGGAGCAGAGAGGGAGGGGGAGGGGGGAAAAGGAAAATGAGCTGATTCCAGGAATCCAAGCAGAAAGCGAGTTTTGAGAATGATGAGGGCAACGAATGCATAAGTGTGCTTTACACAATTGATATATGTGTGGATTGTGATAAGAGTTGTATGAGCCCCAATAAAATGATTTTTTTAAAAAACAACCAAGACGGTGCCACTTGCTTTCGTGGCATTTGGTGCCTCTAAAGCCTGGCTTGACAAAAGCGAACACAGACCCACCAGGCCATGTGGGCACAGCCACCGTGGCTCGCTGCAGCCACAGTCCCTCCCTCCTACTCACCAGGATGAGGTTGAACTGGTCACTTGCCAAAGCGGAGGGGTCTGAGCTCTGAATGTGGACCTTCCCCTTCTGCATGCAGCTCACTCGTAGCTCGTGGGCTAGACTGAAGGGGGAGACAGGAGACAGAGAGGCCAGGGGGCATGGACCCCATGCCAGGAGACATCCATGGAGAAGATGCAGTAGTGGGAAAGGGAAGACCCAAAGGCCACCTTCCCTAGTTGGCTGTCTCCATACTCCCTTCTAGCACAGAAGGAAGAAAATCCCAGTTAATCTGAGTTTGCCCTGCCCTCTTCCAGCTGGCAGCTCCCTCACCAGGTTTCTGGGTGAAGGACCTGCGGTGCGTTTTCCTCTCGGGAGGGAGACCGAAGGGCACCGAGGCCCTGATCAGCACCCTCTGTGTGGTCCTAAGGGGCACTGCTCCTCCTTCTCATCCACCTCACCCTCGGCTCTCTTTGCAGCCGCCACTGCCAATATGTCAGGGGTGGGGGCGCAGAACACAGGGGCTAGATGCTGTCAGACACAGGAGCCAAGCAGACCCAGCCTCGCTAGCTGCACTTGGGGCCAGTCACCCCTCTTTTCAGAACCTGTTTCCTTTTCCAGAAATTGGTGGGAAATACCAACCAATCTCAAAGTTTTAGAGTAATGGCAGAAATGCCAAGTATTGAGACAGAACATTTGGTACACACACATCTATGTAAAGTCCCATTTGGGGAGGGGCAGGGCAGTTCATCAGAATGGAGAAGGTGAGAAGGTTGCACCCTCGTGGCAGCTGTAGGGCTGTCTACGAAACCCAGGTGGACTTACGAGTAACAGAGAGTAAGCAGTGTGTGTGGTTAGCTTCCCATCTCCCTGGCCTCCTGCTGAAGTCTGCCTCCCTCACCCGATGGGGAAAGGCTTACTCTTGGGTCAGTTCGAGCAGCAGGAGTGAGTGGCAGCCCCTCATGTGGGAAGCACCCTCACGGGAAAGACTTGGTCAATCCTGGTGGCCTCCTGGCCCAAGGAACTAAGCAACAGCGGCAGGGGAGGAGGAGGAGGAAAACACACAGAGAGCTATCTTACCGGGCATACGTGGGGTCCTTGAGGAAGCCCAGCTGTCTTTTACGTAGCAAGGACAAGGCGTTACATCCCACTCTGGCGACTTTCTGAGTGAAAAGCAGAAACAGACAAACTCAATGGGGCAAGGGAGAATGCTTTCATTAGCTCACCGGATGCGATGAAGAAACTGGTGCTAAGCCGACAGAAAGTACATGCATAAAACCCTGGTCTCACCCCTCCCGTCTGTCTTCTCTGCACTAGGAACCGCTCTCCTGCCACCTCGCCTCAGCCCCTAAAATGCACACCCGTGCCACCTTCGTCTCCACCCCTTCCCTGGTCGGGACCACTGCCTGCATGGGTGCGGAGTCACCAACAGGTGAGCGCTTCAGCAGGGGGACGGCCTCATGCTCCCTGTCCTCACCGATCCCTTGTCGCAGCTTCCAAACCAGCCTCATGGCAAGGGGCACTGACAGAGCCGCCACGTGCGCCGGGGCAGGGGCTGCCACAGTTGTCATGGCGAGCCCTGGAGCTGGGGTTGGGGCTGTGTTCGGGAGCCTCGCAGCCGGTTGTGCCGGGAGCCCTTCTCTGAAGCAGCAGCCCCTCCTCTATGCCAGTCACTCTGGACGCTACCCTCTTGGTGGCCACAGGGCTTGTTTGCCTGTTTGTGCCCTCCTCATCCCCTTTGCCACGTGAAGGGGCCCTCTCCACCTCCCCGTGCTCTCTGTGCCATGGCGTCCCACCTGCCCTTTAGGCTCCTTCCCCTGCCCCTCCCCAGTTGGGTACCCAACACACAGGAAAAGAAATGGCTCTGAGATGGTTCTTAGCCAGTGTGCGCGCCTCCCCTGGCAGCCTGGGAAAAGTAATTGGCTCAGGGTCTGACAGAGGTTAGACACAAAGATACTGTATTAATAAGAAAAAAAAATCAGATGGTCTCTTGGGCATGAAGTATATGGGAATCAGGGAGTCTACTCCACACACCTTTGCCCAAATTCCCTCACCCTGACCCCAGCACCAGCCATCCATTTCTCCAGGGGGAGCTGAAGCCACGGGGCTAGCAGGATCTGGCCTGGGGAAGGGCACCCGGGTCTCCGTCATGTTCGTCCTATTACCTATGGTGATCCCAGGCTTTCCGTCCCACTGCCCTAGAGACACCACAACGCCCTCACACCTCAACCTGTCTCACAGACTGTCCATGGGACGTTGAAGGGGCCCAGGAGGCCCTCACACCCAAGCCGTACCTATGAGCTTTCAATTTAAAATACTCCGTCACGGAAATTATACCTTACTGCTTCCCACGCTTCCGCCAGGAAAGGACAAAATGTTGGAGCTATGGATGAAGCTCAGGAAACCCCCACAGAAGTGGGTGGAGGGGACTCCTTGCTTGTTCCTATGGCCTCCACCACCAGGTTTCCACCAGGGAACATTCTGGCGGCTCTACCAGGAGCCACCCCCCCTTGAGCGCACGGTGTCCTAAGTGCACGGTGGCGCCGCTTTTCAGCAGCAGGGGCTGTTGGCAGTAGGGCAGGGGGCAGCGCGGCCTGGGAGCGTGGGCCCAACCTTCTGCTTGTCCTCTTCCATGAGCTGCTGCCTCCGCTTCTCCATCTGCTTTTGCTGGATGCTCTCCCTTGTGAGCGGGTTGCAGTTGTTATGGCCAGGGAGCAGACGAAAGTAGCGCTTCTTTTCGGGGTCAAAGTAAAACCCGGGCAGCTCTTTGGTCAATAGAAATAAAAGTTCATGTCAGGAGAAAAGCGTGCGGAAAACACCAGAAAGACCCCGAGTGAGGAGCCCACCCCCTTCCCACCAGCTGCCTGTCCTTTCTGAAGAGGACGAAGGTTGGGGTCATCCATTACCATCCTGGATCACAGGAAACCTTGGTGGCATAGTGGTCATGCACTGGGTTACTAACCACAAGGTCGGTAGTTTGAAACCACCAGCCTCTCTGAGAGAGAAAGATGAGGCTTTCTACCCCTGTGAAGAGTACAGTTAGATAAACAAACGGCCATCTAACCGAGAAGCAACAAAGTCCACATGGAAGAAGCACACCTGCCTGTGTGATCATGAAATGTCGATGGGATCAGGTATCAGGCATCAAAGAGCCAGAACAAAAAAAAAATCATATAAATGTGAATGAGGGGGCATGTAGAGTGAAGACCCAATGCCCATCTGTAGACAACTGGACATCCCCTTACAGAAGGGTCTCAGGGAGGAGATGAGCCAGTCGGGGTGGAGTACAACACCAATGAAACAAACAATTTTCCTCTAGTTCTTTAATGCTTCCCCCCATCCCACTATCATGACCCCAATTCTACCCTACAAATCCGGCTAGACCAACGCATGTACACAGGTACTGATAGAGCTGGAAACATAGGGAATCCAAGGGCAGATAAACCCCTCAGGACCAATAATTTGAGTAGAGGGGAAGGGGAAAGGGAAGGGAAGGTGGGGGGCAAAGGGGGAACCAATCTCAATGATCTACTTATAACCCCTTCCCTGGGTGTCGGACAACAGAAAAGTGGGTGAAGGGAGACAGTGGTCAGTGTAAGACATGGAAAAACAGTAATTTATAAATTATCAAGGGCTCATGAGGGAGGGGTGGGCAGGGAGTGGGGGGAATGAAGAGCTGATACCAAGGGCTCAAGTAGAAAGAAAATGTTTTGAAAATGTTGATGGCAACAAATGTACAAATGTTCTTGACACAATGGATGTACGTATGGATTGTGATCAGAGTTAAATGAGCCCCCAATAAAACGCTTAAAAAAAAAAGAGTTACAGTGAAGGACTCCCATGGCTGCAGGTCCACCCTGCTCTACAGGGTCACTATGAGTTGGGGTCAACGCCATGAGTTGCTTTTTGGAAATCCTGGGCTAAATCCCACCCTGGGGAAACACCCCAAGCCCTTTCCTTTAGCGTCTCAATTTGCTCCTGCAAGGTCTTCCAAGCCACACACGAAATGGACCCAGACAGAGGCAAAGCCGTACCGAGACACCCCAACAAGTCCTGCAGCGAGAGCAGACAGAGCCAGCTGACAAGGGCGGGTGGTCCCAAGCAGCACGCGGCATTACCTGGCACGGAGGAATCTCCAGCTGTGGCGGAAGAGGTTGACGGGGTCTCGTCATCCCTGGGGCCAGAATCCTGTGGGCTTCGTGGTGTCCCCTCATCAAGCCTGTGGACACACACAGTCACGGTACGTTCAGCAAGGGGCTCGAGTTCCTAGTTGTGCCCTTGGAAGGCTCCTCTCTTCATTGAGAGTTCACCTACTGTAAATATCCCCAAGTCAGGGCAGGGTCTGAACCTCGTGTTCTTTTCTGCTATGCTAGGAGAACATTGCTGCTGTTTGGTGACCTGGAGATCATTCCAATTCACAGTGACCTTGTGTACAACAGACGGAAACACTGCCCGGTCCTGCCCCACCCTCACGATCCCTGGGACGTTTTCATTCCACTGGCGCAGTCGCTGGGTCAATCCATCTTGCTGAGGGTCTTCCTCTTTGTCGCTGACCCACTAGCTTCCCAAGCATGATGTCCTTCTCCAGGGACTAATCCCTCCTGATAACATGTCCTAAGGAGCATTCTGGCTGTGCATCCTCCAAGACCAAGCTGTGTGATCTCCTGGCAGCCCATGATATATTCAGTGTTCTTCACCAACACCAATTCAATGACATCAAGTCTTCTTTGGCCGACCTTACTCACTGTCCAGTTTTTGCATACACATGATGACGTAGTTGAAAACACCATGGTTTGGGTCAAGAGCCCCTTAATCCTCAAAGTGACATCTTTGCTTTTTACATTTGAAAGACATCTTTTGCAACAGATTTGCCAAATGCAATACGTCATTTGGGTTTTTGCTTGTTGGTTTCACGAGTGTTGATTGTGGATCCAAGTAGAACAAAATCCTTGACAACTTAAACACTTCTCCACTTATCAGGATGTTGCTTATTGGTCCAGTTGAGAGGGGTTTTGTTTTACGTTGAAGTGTAACCCATCCCAAAGACCGTAGTTTTTGATGATCTTCATCAGTAAGTGCTTCCAAGTCTCCTTCACTTCAGCAAGCAGGGTTGTGTCATCTGCACATAGCAAGTTGCTCATGAGTCTGTCTCCGATCCTGCTGCCACATTCTTCATATAATCCAGGTGCTCGCATATTTGCTCAGCAGACAGTTTGAATAAGTATGGTGAAAGGTTGCAACCATGACACATACTTTTTTGGTTTTAAAGCACATAGTGTCCCCGGGTTCTATTCAAACAACTTCCTATGGTTGTGCACAGGCTCTGCATGAGCACAACTAAGTGTTCTGGAAGTCCCATTCTTCAACAGTATTCTGCATAATTTGTTATGATCCACACAGTTGAATGCCTTTGGATAATCCAAACAGGTACACATCTTTCTGGAATTCTCTGCTTTCCATCAACATTCATCTGATACCAGTAATCATATCCCTAGTTCCACCTCCTCTTGTGAATCCGGCTTAAATGCCAGGCAGTTCACTGGCAATGTACCACTGCAACCATCTTTAACTTACCTTCAGCAACATATACTTGCATGTGACAGTAATGATATTGTTTGCTAACTTCTGCACTTTGCTGGATGCTCTTTCTCTGGAAGGGGCACAAATCTGGATCTCTTCTAGTCAGTAGGTCGGGTAGTCATCTTCCAAATGTATGACCAGAGAGGAATGAACGCTGCTTGTTGCATTGATTCACTGAAGATATCTCAATTGGTAATCTACCAATTCCTGGAGTCTTGTTTTCTCCAGTGCCCTCAGTGAAGCTTCTTCCTTCAGCATCATCTCTAGTGACTGTACAACACAGTAATTTCCTCTCATCGCCATCCACTGCCGCCTTTTAATGAGATCTTTGGAATTTTCCAGGTGAAATGGAGATCAGAAATCTTGATGAGAGTTTTGCCAGCAAGGTTCACTTGTCAGCTAACAGCAGTCACAAGATCAGAGAAATCCCATTCTCTATTGGATTCAGTAGCACAGAATCGTTTAAATGTTACTTGGCTACTCTACTTTACAGATGGAGAAACTGGGGTTCAGGGAATGGAGGCAAAGAGCTCAGGAATACTGGGATGGAGCGCCAAGGTTAAAACACTCGATTTGCCAAGTCAAGTGGCTTCTTTGGCAATTATAGACAGTAGAGTATGGTGGTAGAGCCAAAGACCAGGTGGAAGGAACAAGAGCCCTTCTGCATCCTTCTGTAAACACTCATGTGATGCATCATTGCAGGGGAACATTTCCTCTGCAGTGCTTCCTAATGCAGCTGCTCTGCGACCACCAGCAGGAGAGACCCATGTCGTGTCATGATGGACACACAGCAGGAGAGACCCGCGTCGTGTCATGACGGACACACAGCAGGAGAGACCCACGTCATGTCATGACAGACACACAGCAGGAGAGACCCGCGTCGTGTCATGACAGACACACAGCAGGAGAGACCCACGTCGTGTCATGATGGACACACAGCAGGAGAGACCCGCGTCATGTCATGACAGACACACAGCAGGAGAGACCCACGTCGTGTCAGTGTCATGATGGAAGTCTGTGCCCCTACTCCGAGGACTGCTGCTCCATTCTTTCCACGGGCTTTCAGAAGCCTCCATCCCGGCCAAGCTAGCCTCTTCTCGAGGGCTCGTTTTCTGCTACACCGTGTAGTCTGGTGGCGAGGCCTGGGACTGAAAGGCTATTCATGGTGCTCCTTACAACACAGACCAATGTTCGGCGCTGTTCTGATCTTTTCACAATGTGGGACACGTGTGGGGACTGGCCTCCGTTTCAACAGATTCTCTCTCTTGTCTGCACGCACTCAGACCAACTGTGCACGGACGTCCTACTCATTGCCAGGTTGTGCTGAGGGCTTTCCATACATTATTGCTGACTTACACTGTTGCTGGTTTAACCTCGTTTTGCGCCGAAAAAAAGAGGGACTCAGAAGGGACGAAGCAACTTGCCCAAATGCACAAAGAAAAGGCAGCGTGGTAAACTCCAGACTTCCAAATTGCACAGCCGGGGTTCCTTCCACTACATGCTTTTTGTCACTGTTTGGGCTCATCTGTTCTAAAGTTAAAGACTATATCCAGCAGTATGCCAGATGAGACAAGGAGCCCTGCGTGCTGCCCCTGTCCCCTCCTGGCCCTCTCTGGACCCCCGGGAGCTGGGCCAACCCGGGACACACTCGTCTGGAGAACGCAACGTAAAATCAGCAAGTTGTTTTTTCAGCATCATAACTGGTGTTGGATTTTAAATTTGTTTCCCTATGTTCTGTTTTCCTTTATAAAGAAATAAAATTGATATTGGCATGTTGAAATTGAAATAAAATAAAATCAGCAAAGGAAAAAAAAAAAAAAGAAGCATCGTGTACTTGGACAGCTACCCTGACTCCACGACTAGACATCTGTCCATTTGAAAAGGAGGTCTGGGGTGAAGAGCTTTGACATCGGCACGCGTGTCTGCTTTGGTGAGTGGGGAGCTTGTGAAGTAAGTGTGCCAAGACTTCTATGGCCGAGGATCACACGAGCAGACTTACATGAAAAAGAGATGTCTTCTCCCGCGTGAGTGTGTGTAGATAGGGTGGATCTTGTTTTCTGAAAATATGTTGTATTTTCTTCATGCAAAAAAATAAGTGGACGATGGGAAAAGCAAATGGCCCCACCACACCCAGGGACAAATGATCAACAGGAAATTCAAGATCTTGACTCCCTCTGGGATGTGATTAGAAAGGAGGATACTGGGGGGGGTTCCCTTGGTAATAGATAAGGCTTTCTGTCTTAAGCTGGGTGATGGGTACCCGTTTACTGTATTATTCTAAAACACTTTTAAATGTATGCTAGATAGTATATTACATACACACGTCCTTTTGTTTGTTTGGGTTTTTTTCTTCAACATTTTTAGCAGCTTTAATAGGTCTTGGATTTTCAGGGACATCTGATAATAGATCATTACATTTCATCTTAAAGAAGTGAAGTTGTTTTCTTAAGGAAAATACTATTCTTCCTTCCAGAGAGGTTCAAGGTGAGCCATCATTCGAAGCAGCCCACACGTACTTTTGAAAGTAGATTAAAGTTGTATTACACAGAGAGACATGCACGCAGTGTGCTTATTTATTTTTTGTAGCCTTTCACAGGACTTGGGCTGAATGAATGAATGTAGATTTCCAGGAAGCAAGTTCCTTTGGCTGAAACCACAGGGAAGAAGTCCACGAAACGGAGCAATAGCTCTCAGGTTGTGGCACAGGGTCCACTTGGACCCTCTGGCTAGTGCTGTGTTCAGAAGTCATGGTCAGTCTGAGAGGAAAGAACAATGTGACCATGTCTCCTCGCCAGTCGTCAGCAGCGATGGCCCTACCTGGGAGCAGGTGGTGACTCTCTCCTCAGCCCACCTCAGCTTCCAGAGCTGCACTTTGGCTAGATTCCCCCCAGCGATTTGTGTGCACATTACTGTGTGAGAAGGAACATGCTGCACAGGCCTAAGACGTCAGGGGCCCAAACTGGTGCCCTATGAATACTTGCCTCTCATTGGGGCCGTGCTCCCTCCGCCCTGGGTTCTGCGGGTGGCTCCTCCGCCCACATCTTCTCCTGCTCCTCCAGCTGCCCTTATACATTGCTGCTCCTAAAAGAGAAAGCAAGATCACACACACACACAAATACATCCTTGTGGGCGTGCTCACGTATGTTTGTGGGCTTCCTGATGGCTCCTTCATGCTCACCGCTTGGCAAGAGTGTGGTCTAACCTGGGTTATCATCCAAGCTTCCGGACAAACCTTAACTGGTAAAGGGCTGTCCCCCAGGAAAGGAAATACTTGCAAAATCCACCACCGTTTCGGTAGCCACCTCTTGGGCTACAATTCCTCTCACCTCACAGGTGACGCATAACCTGCTAACGGTTGATTCCCTGGGCACCGGTGGGACCGGTGGGTACTAGGCACTCACAGTTACTGTCAGACAACTAACTGTGCGAGCCAGTCATGAACTCTCTTAGGTTGCTCTTCTCCCCTACCAGATCATACCAGAAGACACATTTACTGTTCTCAATAGGCAGAAATGTTATTTTCCCACATAGTTGATGGTAGCGGCATTTTCTTCACATAGTTTCAGGACTGACAAAAACAGAAAAATGGAAGAAAGCAGTTAAGCACCGAGTTGGACTTGTTAACCTGCTTTAGGAAAAAACAGGTAAGAAGCGACTACCTCCTGAACGGAAGAGCTCTCCTGTGCTCTTTTGGAAACAAGGATGAGATGGAAATATCCCTAAATGACACTGACATTACTACAATTATTCCAAGAGATCCCCCCCCCCCCGGCCTTTGTTGCGGTTTCTTTGTTTTGGATATGGGTGTTGTTTTTGTTTCTGTCGTGTGTGTCAGTCACTGGGGGGGGCAGTTCTTTGTGTGGGTGTGTCTTGACTCGATGGCAATGGCGTGCCTGGTTTGGTTACTTGGTATACCCGGACTCTATCATTAACTATCAAAACACCATAAGGTCTACACCAAGAATCACATGAGGATTTTACGAAGGCTGAACTGTGTGTGGGACACGGACCAGTTGCTGCTTCGTGCTTCAACACTTGGTGTTTCTTTCCTCCCTGGAGAAATAGGTGACAACTTTGTGGAGGTTTTTTTAAAACCATAATCAAAAGTTGCAACAATGGGGGGAAAAATAATTTCCAGGACTGAATGAAACCAAAAAATCCACCCCAAAAAACAAACAAATGCAGACATACGTGGGGCCTGGTCCTTCCTCTCACGTCCTTCAAACTTATTAGCAGGGGGGGCCAGCCCTTGGAGAGGCACGTCACGATTGATAAAGAACAGGGCAGTGACAACGAGGGAAACCCTAAGCAAGATGCACAGACTCACTGGCTGCAACCCTGGGCCCTAACACAGCAGGGCCTGAGGGTGGGGCAGGGTTGGGAAGTGACTTGTTCTCTTGTACACAGGGTCGGTCGCTAGGAGTGGGAACCCACCCGACGGCACCTAACAGCCGAGGAGACCAAGCTTCCTAGACTTGGCAAGCACGGGGGTGAAAATGTTGCCTGCTTTGCTAATACACAACTCAAGAGTGGGGATGGTTCAAGGCAGGGCGCCACGGCTTCCCGTTTGGTGGATCACCTTTGGCGAGTGACAAACCTCGGTACGCCTGTTTGTGCAACTGCCCGGGCTTCCCAGGGCTGCGGTGTGGAGACGTAACGGCTGGGGAGGTCGACAACACGCATAAGGCTGTTACCCAACCCTAACGGCGGGGTGGGGTGGGGTGGGGGGACGGCTATTACAACCTAAACTTTAGCCCCGGAGGCCGGTGGGCCCTCCAGCATAAGGCTTTGGGAAAACGCTGCTCCCTCGCGTGACCGACTGCAGGGCCACGCGCCGCACGCCCAAGAAGGCCGGCTTACGCCGAGCCACCGCCCCGGGCCCCACCCCGACCCTGTCAGGTCGGCGTCCACGTGCTTGGCCCCACCCTGTCCCTTTTCTAGGCCTTCCCCCTCCGCCCGAGCTCTGGAGGGAGCAGCCGCCGCGCCCGGCCGACGCTGAAGTGCAGCCCAGCCCACAGCGATCTACCTGACTTGAGGGTGACTCAGGACACCCCTCCGGCCCAGCTCGGCGAGGATCAAAGTGAGGTGTGGACTGTGGAGGGGACGCGGAACCACGGAGGTGTAGCGTCGGCCAGTTGGGCGCGCCCGTT